GCCTGTCTCTTATACACATCTAGATGTGTATAAGAGACAGGTGTTAAAATGGTCAAGCACCCTCGAGGCAGTTACACAGTGCTTACAACTGTCGCTGGAAGTGAAAGCACCAGGCAATAAATTAAGTCATACGCAGCTGCCATCCGTATGCAAGGAAGTAAGCACAAGATGCCGAACACCCTTGGCAGGATGCAGTGCACCCTTCATGCGACTCGCCGAATATCTCACGGCGTTTTGCGCTTGGTAATGTGAGAGCCTGGTCCGGTGAGAACCCGTCGTGCTCCGTCCCGGCTTTGTAGGGATGCGAGGTCAATGGTCTAACGACTTCGGCATGCACGACTATGAGTACACCCCCCTCCCCGGATTGGACCTCACCCAGCTTGGAGCAGGACGTCAGGAACCCCGCTACACCGGCCCCCTGTTACAACAGCGCACTCTTTTACCCTCAGCAATGTCCTCTCCACCCGACATTCACACGCCAGCGCTCGATTTGACCACATCCCAGAGCGTCCCTACACCAAACGGTACGTCCGCGTAAACCTTCGGAAGCTCTCGACACGAGGAGAGAACTCCAGCGAGCACGGGAAATCACAGGCAGAGCCTGTGCCGGTCGAATTTTTCTTTTCCGTTGTACAACGAGCAAAAGCAGAAGAATAATCGGGTTGAGTCCGGGAGGCGAGGAAAGCAGCGCAAATCGTTTGTTTATTTAGCACATTTGTAGTCTAGGCAAGCAGAGAAAATAAGAAATTGTCGATTTAGGAAGTTCAGCAGGATTCGGCGGCACGAAAAAATTAGAACTTGACACAAGAAATTGACATAAGAAATTAAACGACGTTCGCTGAGTTTTGAGCCCGCAATAAGAATTGAAGGCTGGACCAGCAATTGATGTTGTTTCTTAATTGCGGGCGCTAACTGTATCATGTTTTCGTGGATTCATGGACCTGGAGGCTGCAGCCCACGTCGCATTGAGTTGGCGATGAAAAAAGCTCGCCAAGATATTTTTTTCCGTCGTCGTGTCCAGCAGTAGGAATGCCGAGCTGGAGTCAACGACTTCTTTTCTTCTGCACGACTGAGTGTTTGGCTGATTTTATTGAGCATCTATCTGTACATTTTGTTGTGGTTTTTGTGTTCAAGCGCCTTTTGCCCTTGCCCTCGCCCTCGCCCCCTCCCCGCTCAGGATCTCTTGGTTTGCGGTTGTGCACGTAGGGTCTACGCCACCATCATCACGTGTCTGTACGAAGGTAGTTTTGGGGGTTGTTTTTCGATTCGTGTTTCTTCCGTTGAACAAGCACCCCCGCCGCCGCCCTTCGAAAGGGGTGCGTTGTGAAAGAACGGACTACATTAGGCGAGTAACAGTTGGCCCCCCTTCCTCCCCCCCCGCCGCGCGCACGCCATTTTTATTTGTTATCGCCACGTCACCCACAGGTAAAGCTGGCGAGCAAGAAGGTCCTGGCAGGGTCGCTAGGCATGTCTGCCGGGGTGATGCTGTACATCGCGCTCATAAACATCTTCGGCGAGTCCGTGGAGGCCTTTCACCACCACGGCTACTCGGACGTGAGATGTTGTCGTTGTCAACCGAGCCAAACGACCTTAGATGTTTCTCCCTGGCTTCGTTTCGACGGGGAAATCGTCCCTTCGGGAGGCCGAGTGAACACGTATACATGAACAAATCATGAAACTGTTACGCGACTATGCGATTCCCACTTTCGATTGCACTTGTTAGACGCTCAGAACATGCTCTACAGTTTGGAGTGAGACTGACCTTCGTTTGGCCCAAATTGTGTCTCACGGACCCTCAATCGAACCGCCCATTTTTCAGCTGTGTTTTGGTCAATCAAACCCGACCATCTTGACAGCCGAGCCCACTCGACAGACGAAAGACTGATTGTATGCTTCGTGAGTTGATAGCGAGGGGAAATTGCGGTCGTCGTCACCTTCCCACCCCTTTGCGTGGTTGGAGAATCATGTTGAGAGCAGGACGGTAGCAAGAGCTGCCCCATCACATAAGTCTCAGAGATGACAAGAAATAACACTGGTGACAGAAACGAGCAGGTCTGGTTTCAGAAAATGTGCTTGACGAAAAGGAACTACAACCCGCCCCCTTTCGCGCTCCTACGTGAAGTTGACTAGATCTAGACATTGCATGAAGAGAGCAGGACAACCACTGCTGCTGATGGCGTAGCAACGGCAAGAAGAGCTGCAGTAGCGCCGGCGGCAGAGCCAAAGTCGATTCATCGCACGAAAAAGTTCTCGACAAAATATTCTCACTCCACCGCCAGTGTATCCCAGACAACCCTCCGGCGGCCCGCCCCCTAGCGACTTGCCCCGGAGGAGCCAAGAGCAACCTCGTTGGTACCCCCTGGCAGAGGGCCCCCAAGTTCTGAATCAATCCTCGACTGATCCTCTGTCGCTGTCTACATGCAGCTAACCACCCGTAAGAAGGTTCCATTTTGTGCCTTCGTCGTGCACTGATCCGCGACCTTGTACTCCACATCCAGCTCACCAGCAAAGGATTGCATGGTTTCAGGGTAGCTTCTCCGTGTCTCTCGTACTCTCGCTGCTTGCTTCCGAACCGAGGACACCTTGGTTAATCCGATTTGATTCTGGTAGCAACCAAAGTCCATCAGTTCGCTCTTGTATCGTTGTACTTCATGTGACGGGGCGTTGTCGGGCGGTGAGATGGATCCGCAGGTCGGTTGACTTGCTGCTTTGGTTGTAGGGTGCACGCGTGCATGTTTCCATGTAGTCTGGGAGGTGGTTTGGTTTCGATGGCAGCATCCCTCATGCTGTCCCGCATCTTGCATGCTCGTTCCCAAACAGGCGGACGCGTACTTGTACGCGACATTGAGCCTGTTCGGGGGCATGCTTTGCTACAGGGGCATCGAATTCGTGGTGCAACTCCTGGGGGGGGGGGCCTTCGGCGAACACAATTTGGAGTTCGACCAGTACGATCTCAACAACTCTTCGTCCAACACCGTCACAGCGAGTGGCGACAGCAGCAGGAACTCCACGATCAAGCGGGAGGGACCACGGGACGTCGAGCAACCGCAGCCGCAAGAAACGACCGGCGGGGCGAACGCCGTGTCTGGGGATGAAGCGAAACTCGTTCACATGGGGTTGCTGACCGCCGTTGCGATCGGCATCCACAATTTTCCGGATGGGCTGGCGACGTTCGTTTCCTCGCTCGCCGACCCCTCCGTGGGGCTCGCCCTGGCGGTGGCCATTGCCATCCACAACATCCCGGAGGGTATGTGCGTGGCGATGCCTGTCTACTACGGGACCGGGAGCCGATGCAAGGCGTTCGGGTGGGCTCTGCTTTCCGGCGCCACCGAGCCGATCGGAGCCGCCCTGGGGTGGCTAATCTTGAAGGACGTCATGAGCGAGCTCGTGTACGGGATCCTTTTCGGCTTGGTGGCCGGAATCATGGTGAACGTCGTGATCCACGATCTGATCCCCACCGCGGTGAGGTTCGACCCGGCGGACAAGGTAACCACCAACTCCATCTCCGCCGGCATGGCCATCATGGCCCTGAGCCTCGTGCTTTTCGTCCGATCCGGAGGTCACTGATTACCTTTCTTGCACGTAGAGAGGAGAGAGCCTCGCATAGTTTCCTTGTATTGAGGGGAATAGCGACTCTTCGTGTGGTACGGCAGCTCGCTTTGTTTTCTAGGAGCAGGCTCTGATCAAACGGCGTTTTTTGTGATTGATTGTTGAGGTTCTATATGTTAAGACAACTCCGGACACATACCCCCTCCGGCAATTTCGGTCAATGTTTAATAAAATATATCACTGACTCCCTTCTGCAGAGGGGTTTATATCCACGGGGAGCCTTACGCAATATTACAGAAAGTAGAATCCCCTGAATGAAAGTTAGAGCCCCCCTCTCCCCCCCGGTGTTTGCCATCGGGGATGGGTTTTCGTCGCTTGGCAACGACGTTGTAAAACAAGCCAATTCACTTCGTGAACTCGGCAACCAGGTTACCGTTTTTTTTTTTTTTCCTCCGGTTTTTTGTTTGGCGGTAATCATAATGGTGGTCGAGTAGATCATGTTGTGCGGGGTCGAGAACCCTCACTCCGCGCAAGGAGGATGATCGCACCACGTTGTGTCAAAATGGTCAAGCATCCTCGAGGCAGTTACACAGTGCTTACAACTGTCTCAGGGAGTGAAAGCACCAGAAAATAAATTAATTCATACGCAGCTGTCATCCGTACGCAAGGAAGTAAGCACAATATGCCGAACACTCTTAGCAGGATGCAGCGCACCTTTCATGCGACTCGCCGAATACCTCAACGGCGCTTCGCGCTTGGTGATGTGAGAGCCTGGTCCGGTGAGAACCCGTCGTTCTCCGTCCCGGCTTTGTAGGGATGCGAGGTCAATGGTCAATGGTCACGACTATGAGTACACCCCCCGCCCCCAAAATCACACACACACCCTCCACGGATTCTGTTTTTCGATCAAAGAGTAGGCCTAGACTTTTTCGCGTAGGCCCTTGGCCGTGGGTCTACATTTCTAGGCTTTTTGCACAAATTGCGTTTTTTTCTGAAGAAAGAGTGGAAACGGACTGAACGTGAGAGAGCAGGCCACGTGGGTGCGAGAGCCCCGCTGCCTTGGTGCATTGCACATACATGGCCGTTTGTGTGTTGAGCCCAATCTGGCGCAGTCTACGCTCTTCTCGGTGTGAACATTTGACGTATGCGTATCAGCCAGGGTCGCACAAAAGGACGGTCGCACAATGTAATTGTATTTTTTTTAGAGTATTGGCCTGCGCCTTTAGCCCGTGATGTTGACTTCCAGACTCTGTTTACCTCGGGCAGCGGGTAGAGACGAGCGAAGGATTCTAGACTATCTGCCATTGGCCTCTATTGACTTGCGAACCCGTTCCGGGTCCATCATATTTAGTATTATACCTTTTTGGATAAATTAGCCTGTGACGACGGGAATCGACCGCGTCAAGTGGCAGCCTACGTGTAGTACGGACAGAAGAAGGCACGGGATAGAGAGATCGGAACGGTTTTATGTTTTTTCTTGTGACGACAACAACAACACTTGGTTACATCATTCCTTTCGCTTGCATGCCTCTACAATTATGTTTTTTTCGCGAGATTGGATTCAACCGTCCTTTTCCCTAGTTAATCGTTCAGTCGAGGCGTGCACTCACCAAGTACTTAGATAGTGATCGCTTTCCAACCTGCAAATTGTAGGCAAATAACCTACCACTCACTACTATCTGGCTACTGTAGTAGTCTAACACGACCACCCGGGCGACACCCGGGACAAAGAAAACGAAGGCCAATTGGTAATGAGCGCATCAACTTTTAAGTTTTCCCCGAATAAATGATGATTCGGAATCGTTCGCATGGCACACCGTCATAAAGAAGATCCGAGGAAAAGACTCAGAAGAAAATAATGTACTGGTAGGCAAACCTACTGAAAATTACAGAAATTAGGCAGGCAGGCGGGGGAGGCGGGCAGGCAACAAATTTGTTCCTTTAGTTGATCTCCCGGGTGAGGTCGCCACGTTCGTTGACGAGGTCACCTAGGTACCGGAACCGTCGTCTACGCGTACCTCTGTTCCACTGCTGCGATGATCAGCGGCGACGGCGGGGGCGGTGGTATTGGCTGGTACCCCTACTTTACGCGCATCAGGAGCGTCTCCGTCTCCTTCTCCGACACCGCCAGCCCGAACTCCCCAAACACTTCCACGATGACGGTCATCATACTCACCAGTCCGTCGCGGACTTCGATACGACGCCGGCGTCATCGGAATACAACATCCCCCGTACCGCCCTACGCACTTGGTCAAGTGGTGTTCCCGGCCCCGCCCCCATCTCCTCCGCCAAGTGCACTAGGTTCCGAAGAATGACATCATCCTCGCTGAATCGAGTGACAAGGACCTCGAGAGCAACGGCAAAGAAGATGTTGAACAGCAGTGGGGACAGCACACATCTTTGTCGCAAGTCCTGTGTGACCCAGAACCAGTCCGTCGTCCATGCGCACCCGGGCTCGCATTCCGTCGTGGAATTGGCGGATGACGGTGATCATCTCCGCGGGAATCCCGGCCCTAGCCAGCACCTTCCACAGCTCTCTATCCACCGAGCAATAAGCCTTCTGCAGGTAGATGAAGCACATGTAAAGCGGTATTTTCCTTCTCCGCCCCAGCTCCTGGAGTCGGCGCACGACGAACAGCATGTCGACGGTGGACCGCCCAGGTCGGAACCCGCTCTGTTCCTCCGGGAGGATGATGTTGGCTTTGCAGACAAGGGTGCTTAGGCGGCTGGCGATGATCTTGATGGGAACCTTGCCTACGTGAGATAGTAGCGAGATCCCCCTGTAGTTATTGAAGTTGAACCGGTCACTCTTGTACAGTACTTCGATCGCTGCACGTCCTTCCACTCGTGCGGGATCTCTCCTCCGCTCCACACCTTATTATCGAGGATGGCACGGAGCCGCCCCAGTACGGTGGGTGTTGAGAAGCACGATGATCACTAGACTACACCACTAGTCAGCGGCTGACTGGTGGTCTGTGTAGCGGTCGTCGTGCTTGTCAAAAAAAGTTATGCCCGAGTCCGTCAAGATTTCTTTGGAGCCACGAATACGCCCCCCCAGGGTTGCCATCCCTGTGACCGCAGCCGATGCCCATGATTCAGCTTGGGTTATTCAGGAGATTGTTGAGAAACACGATGGTCACTACACCACCAGTGAGCGCTGACTGGTGGTGTGGCGGTCATCATTCTTCTCAACAACATTTAATGCCGAAGTCCTTCAAGCTTTCTTTCAAGCTACGTACACATCCCCCCAGGGTTGCCATCCCTGTGATCAGCGCTGTGCTTGCCAGATCGATACAAGCAGGTCATCGGCGTATTTTACGAAGCCTACTTCATCAGATTCTATCTACAGTACCGGGCGCAAACATATGTAAAATGCTCTAGGAGATCGAATCTTGGTTCGTCGTCATCGAACTCAAGCAACTCGGCAGGCAGGGAGTCATGGCCGAGTGCCTTCCAGTTCTGCAGGCCTTTCGTTTCCCGGTCCACCTCCTCGAGATCTGGCGCCTCCCCCAACCAACCGTAGAGTGGTACGTGTTGCCGGTCGCCGCGTCACTTGCTCGAGATGACGTCTGGGTTCAGGGTGGGAGACTTGGTGTTGAGGAAGACCGAAGAATCTCGCCCACCCGTGGAGAATGTTAGATTTGTTCCGGAGCAGCACGCTGTTCTCGTCGGCGACGATTTGCTGTCCTCCCGCTTGTTTCCCATTGAGGCCCACCGATCTCTTGAGGTGTTTGTAGTGTTAGAAAGGCTTAACCCCATTAGACTACTAAGTCAGCAAGTCAGCCGGCTGACTTTGTAGTCTAATGGGGTAAGCCTTTCTAACAAAAGATACACTCTCCGCTCGTAGCCACCCGGCTGGTCACTGGGATTGTAGAAGTAGAAATCTCCGGGGACGGACCCCTCGCCAGGCGCTGCAGGAAAAGAACTAAGGGTGCTTGTGAAAGTGACAAGCTGGGATTCGAACCCGTGCGTGTATTTTTTTTTTTTTCACCTTCCGACATTTTTTACAGATGTACTTCAGAAAACTTTCACTTAATGTCTCATACTCTATGCATACATGAATATTAAACCAATACGAAGTACAACAACATATGTAGAACTTATTTCTACTGTCACTTACATCGTAAAAATATCTCCTCTTCAATTTGAAATACATGTAAAACCAATGACAATCCTCATGGTATCCTACATGCGTTCGTAAGCTTGCTAAAATACTACTGCGTTGATGTCCTCTTGTAAAAGCTGAAATCCAACAAATGCTTTGATCCATGCTACATCTCCGTGTTGGAAAAGCCCTTTCTTCTCCGTTCATGATAACACCTTACCCTATTCTACGCAAATCTGTCACATCTACTCTCAAACAAGACGCCAACTTCAAACGAAAACGCGTTCTACGATGCGTCTACATTCCATCCCCATATCATTGGCGTTGCGTCTATCCTTGTTAGTAAGGCTTACCCCGTTAGACTACTCAGTCAGCGCTGACTTATCTAGCTAATGGTTCAACATTTGGAAACAAAGGATACGCACACGGGTTCGAATCCCAGCTGATCACTATCACAAGCACCCTTAGTTCTTTTCCTGCAGCGCCTGGCGAGGGGTCCGTCCCCGGAGATCTCTACTTCTACAATCCCAGTGACCAGCCGGGTGGCTACGAGCCGAGAGTGTATCTTTTGTTAGAAAGGCTAACCCCATTAGACTACTAGACTAAGTCAGCAGGCAGAGTCCTCTCAAGTCTCGCTCCTTCTAGATCGCTTCGAGTTCCGTCACATATCTGTCCAGGTAGGCGTAGATGCCCGTTTCGACTGCTGCAGCCACACTCCCCTACAGGCTACTTTGATGGTCCTCCATGCTGTTGGGTTCCGATTGCCCTTCATCGCGCGGAGCGCTTCCCGCCGTTTGGTAAGGGCCTCATCCACGGCTTCTCTCGTCCCACGTGGTTTGAAACCTCTCCTGCGCTTGCTTGCTTGCGTGTCGTCTCCGCGGTTCCTCGGGAAGTATCGCTCTCGCCGCTTTGAGGAGAGCATTGGTGAACTCGGTGTCCATCTCCGGGGTGGTGATCGCTTGCTGGCCCAATCGTTGTTGGTCGAGGTTGAGGAAGAACCGGTCAGCCACCGCCATCGCATTGCTTTGACCTGAAACCTGAAACCGCCGCTGGCTGAAACTGCTTCTGTTTCGTTTGGTCCGCACCGCTCGCGGTTGACGGTAGCTATCACCATATGTTGTGATCTGGGTCTCCATCTTGGCTGGGCGTGCCGGCTAGGGGATGGCAACCACGTTGGACACTAGGCCGTGGTGTGCCTGCCGCGTTAGGATGTAGTCGAGGGGCTTGCGGTCGTCCCTGACGTGCCGTTGTGTCCGTGCCATATTCCGCCCCTCGTGTCTCGAAGGTGTTCGTGATTGCTACACATCAAAGTAGCTTGTTGTCCATTGCGAAGGTCAAAACAGCAGCCTGCCATTGTCGTTCAGCTCATCACGCCCATGTGTGCCCATACCTGCCCCATCCTCACCATCCATCCTCTCTCCTGTCCGCGCATTGTGGCGTCTATCAGGACCAGGAAACTGTGTCCCACACACTTTGAATGGGATACTCCGCAAAAGACTGTCAAGTTTTTTCCCAGAACTTTCTCTGGGTGTCTGCGGTCAGGAGTCAGGAGTCACGAGTCACGAGATGAGTAACGACAGCGAGCGGTTGCACTCACACCAATGAACGGCGTACCCGGTGCGGCACGCATTTTGTGTTTTACCCATATACCGCCGTGGGCGGCGTCAAGCAGCAGCCACAGCCGCAGCAGCTGAACAACAGGAAACGATTCGGCGTGCGGATGTGTTCAGGTGGAATCGCCTAGAGACCACCCACCCGCACCACGCGCAACAAGCACCGTCTAGCGAGGCGGAGGCTGCGCCCACCCGCCGTGGCCCAACAAGATGGCGGGTCCGGATGGCAACAACCAGTACGAGAGCTACCAAACTGAACGTGAAACCACCTTCTTATTAAGTCGTTCACCATCACCGTCATCATCGTCGACAAGAAGCCGGGACAGGGCACCGGCATCAACGGTGACAACACCGGAGGTGGATGTGCCGAAGCGCTACAAGTACGCGCTCGGTATGGGGTACATGCTCGCCTTTGGAGTGTGTGGTATGGTACTGGGGGCGCTCGTGTTGACGCTGGACGACCTCGCCAGCAACTGCGGGATAACAGCAATAGACGTGAGAGATACATCGAGTGGGATGCGGTGTGTGTGGTAAGATAGGTCCACATGCTTATGTAGCGTAGACTATGTACTGCTGTAGTCTAGGGGTATGTGCCGCAGTAGCAGTAGACTTTACCGACCGCTTAATACAACTAACAGCGGCTACTGCTGCTGTTGCAACAATGAAAGATGAGCAGACGCCCGTCTTACACTGCTGTTGGAATATAAAACTGCAACAGGGTTGGCTGCCCTCTACCGACATATATTACTACATAACAGCAGTTAGCGCCGGCAGGGGGGATCGCAGGGTCTCCTCTGTAAACGCCTGCATATCTCAGTTTTCCAAAGTCTAACTCCAGTACGAAACTGCCATCGCAATTTGACCGTCCGCACCGGTCGCTTGTGTACAATGCTACTCGTAGTGTCCGAGATTGTAGCCCTTGTGATACGCTGCAGACTAGCGGTCTGCAGTTTTCCAAACGATCCTTCGATCATCGAGATCGGTGAGCGACAAGTAGGGTTGATTTTTGAAACGCTTCACGCCCCGTTGCTTATTGCCAGACCTACAAACGCACACATATATATGACCCCAAGCATTAAATCGACTGCTGTGGCGACGAGTAGGACATGTGTGGGAAGAGCTGCGCTGAAGTTCGCGGCCCCACACACTTCACTTTGACAAGGTACCGATTCGCCGTTACTGGGTGCTTGAAGCCTTTCGAAGTCGGACCGCACAGCAGCTGTTCATAAATCCTGCTTGTAGCCCACCGATCTCGACGATAGAAGGATCGTTTGGAAAATCACACACCCCAGGTATGTGGTGTATCACAAGGGGCTACAACCTCAGGCACTACCATTGTACACAAGTGTTTGGGGTACTTGGATACAAGATCCGATCTGCAGTATGTGTATAGGGGGGGTATGCTATTGGGGTCCACGTGCGGGGCCCCTCGTGAGAGCCCGTGCATGCATATGTTTACTCGGGGAGCGGGTCCGTGCTGGGAGAGCACGCATGTGTGTTAATCAAAGTTATATCATCGGCATCGGTCCTGGGTTAACATAGTCCCCAGACATTCAATATATGGTGGGTGGGCACGGTGCCGTGGGTGGGCACGGCAACCCCCGTGGGTGGTCACGGAGGCTCATATGTACTCGCACGATTAATCGTAATTGACCGATGTCGGAACAAGAAGCTGCAGCGAGGGCAGCAGCTGAGGAGGCAGCCTTAGCTGAAAGAGGTAAGTTAAAAGAGACACTGAAAATCGCGTTGGAGAGGATCGCGTCATTGGAGGCTGGCGGGAGGGCAGCAGGTGGTCAAGCTGGGTGGGCAGCTGGAGGAGGTGTACATGCCGGGGGTGGGCCTGGCGGTGGATCCGGGAGATGATGTTTAGACAAGGACGGAAGGATCGACCCAAGCCAACTTTTTTCAGAGAGGGCAGAAGCCCCGTGTGTGGTACGGTGGACACCAGCACCAGGTGACGAGAGGAGTGCAGCAGCAGAGCAGCCGCCACAACCACGTCCTTACAGGGCACAGCCGGTACCAGCATCAGCAGCAGCTGGTGCCCAATGAACGCACACGCCCTCCCGCTCCTCCCCCTCCCGAGCAGCAGCAGCACCGTACTGCTGTTGCTTCAGCACGTCCTTTCGACAACGGCCGGAATGCCGTCTGGCCTCAGTCCCAAACCCCTGTCCCACAGGGGTCACCTGTTCCCACGTGCACCAGTTGTAGACGCCTTGGGCACGTCGCTACCATCTGCATGGCGCCAGCTCGCTATTACGGAGAATGCAGCTGCTGTGGAGAGAACGGTCATGTACATCAGTATTGCAAGTTCAACCTCGCCCGCGGACCGTTTCAGCAGCAGCGGAGGGACGGTGGCTTTGGCGGCGGGTCTGTGTTTCAGCAGCAACAGCATGAGCAGCAGAAGCCAGGCGTGGTGTAAGGCAGCGCTGGCGGATTTCAGCAGCAGCCGCGGCAACAGCAGCTGGCGGCCGGCTCCACCGGCGGTGTGGTTGGACAGGTGAGTGGTGGGGTGTTTGTTGGCGAGAAGGGGGGTGCTGCTGCCGGTTCGTTTGCGGCGTCTCTGCCGGTAAAAGCCCCCGCCAACGTTGTTTCTCTCATCGCAGTTACACACACCGCCACTCATTCTCCCCCGCAACCCACGACATCACGTGTAGTACCTGCAGTAGCGCGGAAACGCGCAGAGCTGGATCTTATGAAGGCCGGGCACGGTAGAAATGTAGCAATGCGGCATATTCCCGGACCATACCGCGTTGTTGTAGTTTCGCCGTCCGCGGCATCGCAACAAGGCAAGCAGTCACCGTCGCAGCAGCAGCAGCAGCAGCAGCAGCAGCCAGCAGCCTCACTTGTGCCATCACCCACAGCAGACCATGTCGATGAGATCCGTCCTGCCGCCCCATATTCAACGGTTGGGATTTGTGGAACGGCATCCGCACCGGCGGTCGCAGCGGCGGCTTCGGCTAGAGCTGTGGCGCCAGGAGCAACGCCGCCGGGAGCGACAGCGGCAGCGGCTCCGACGGAAGCGGCGGCGGTGACAACGGCAGCGGTGGGGACAGCAGCAGCAGCGGCATCCTCGGTGGCCGCGATGGTGCCCGGCATCGAGACGGTAGCAGCGGCGGCGGTGGCAACGGCCGCGGTGAGGACAGCAGCAGCAGCGGCATCCTCGGTGGCCGCGATGGTGCCCGGCATCGAGACGGTAGCAGCGGCGGCGGTGGCAACGGCCGCGGTGAGGACAGCAGCAGCAGCGGCGTCCCCGGCGACCGCGATGGCGCCGGGCACCAAGACGGCGGTGGCAATGGCGGCGGTAGGGACAGCAGCAGCAGTGGCGTCCCCGGTGGCCGCGTTGGCGCTGGGCAGTCAAGATACGTGCGCCGACAGCGGCGGCCTGACCTGCAGCAGCGGTGGAGACGACGGCATCTACGGTTTCGAGAGGGGCGCGTCGTACCCTTCTGACCCGGGAGGATTATGTGCGCAGGAGGTGCGTGAGAAGAGAGACCACGACAGCGGTGGTGAGGAGGACCGGAGCAGCGGGGGCCGCCGCAGCAGCAGCGGCAACGGCGGAGATGGCGCAGCCTGGGGTGGACCGTCAACGCATCCCCGTAACAGAGGGAATCGGTCCTAGTGGAGGAGAGCGACCAGGGGGGCCGTGCTGGGAGTGGACCTCCCATTCGATCGAGGTAGAGATGCCGGGGGGTGATGCTTTGCACCAAGTGGCACCACCGGGAGCGGCGGCGGCGGCGCGGACGGCTTCGGCCAGAGCGCCGTCCCCGGCAGCAGCGTCATCAGGAGCGGCGACGGCAGTGGTGGCTTCGGCTAGAGCTCTGTTGGCGGCAACGGGAGTGGCGGCCTCGACCGAGCAGAGCGAAGACATGGTGGCGACGACGACCTCACCATATTTGCGCCAAATTGGAGACCATGTGAAATGCTAACGAGTTTGTTTGGGTTTTGTGTGGAGGCATTGGCATGTTAACTTCACGTTGTTTTGTTCTTTATTTTTTTTATTTATTTTTTTTGTTCCATGTCGAGTGCATCTTTCCCGTCGCGCCGAGGACGAGAAATTCATTCAGGAATCGCCTCCGAGAGGTAATGCATTGATGTGTACGGTATTCCTGTTCGTGGTTGCGTTATTTTTTTTTCTGGATTTTGACTTGTTGTGTTTCGGACCCGAAATTGTGCAACATGCGAAATTCAATGACAACTGTCGAACTCTGCTGTTTGTACTACTGTCAAGAACCATGGGGGGGGGATTTGTGCACCATGTTTCTAGCCGCAGCACCAGCAGAGCAGAGTGCTTTCGTCGAGAGTTCTGTTCAAGCTGGATTAGTTTCGTTATGATGTTCTTTGCGTTTCTTCGTTCTGCTGTGTGTTGCGCCAAGAATCAGGGGGGGGAAATGTGCTGTCATGATTCCAGACGCAACAGCAGCGAATGCATATATATATATGCGTGTTCTTGTGCATGCAGGGCACAAGATTGTTTTGACGGCATGAGAATAAATTGGGTTCATGGATAAATTGATGGAGACGCTTTGTGTTTTATGCGTAGCCAGTTTTGTAGAGGATGGTTCTCAAGTTGGTATTTGCTTTTTTGTTTTTTGATTGGTTGGAAGATTATCCACGAAGGACTTCCAGATCGTATATTGTATCAAGCAGGGGGGCCGTTTGGGGTACTTGGATACAAGATCCGATCTGCAGAGTATGTGTGTAGGGGGGGTATGCTATTGGGGGTCCAAGTGCGGGGGCCCTCGTGAGAGCCCGCGCATGCATATGTTTTTTCGGGGAGCGGGTCCGTGCTGGGGGAGCACGCGTGTGTGTTGATCAAGGTTATATGTCATCGGCATCGGTCATGGGTTAACATAGTCCCCAGACATTCAATATACCGTGGGTGGGCACGGCAACCTCCGTGGGTGGTCACGGAGGCTCATATCAAGCGACCGCTGCGGACGGGCATTGTTATTTTGCCATGTAGTTTTGAACTGGAGTTCAATTCGGAAAACTGAGTTATGCAGGCGTTTCCAGCCGTTTCCTGATTTTTTTAAGAGGAGGTACTGCGATCCCCCCCGCACCCTTAGGTTGTGTACTAACGAAGGGACAAAAAAAATAAATCAAATCAAAATCGAGCTCTGATTGGTCGAAACACTCATACCTCCTGACGACGCCCTTTGACTTTATGGACGTTCCTCTCTCTGGGAAGAAGTCTCGGAGGAACTTTTTTTTATGAAAGTCAAAATCAAGTGGCAACCAGTTCAAGACTTCGAAGGCATGGAGCACCTGGCGCGAGGCCGCTGCAAAGCAAGTGCACGACACAACCTGCTGTACACTGCTCAAAGAGGGGCTATCGGCACCCTACCACCGACACCATGGCCATTACTTGTAGCCAGGAGACTCTGCTCGCCGGCAAGCCCAAAAATTGGGCTGGCTCGTTGGGTGCTCGAGGAGAAAATGCCGAATGTGATAAGCGGTGAACGGACTGACGATCAAAACGGAGCTACGCGGCTTTTTCGGGCAGTTCCTTGCGGGAGAGGGTAGTTGCAACCTTTTTTCTCCACACTCGAGATACCCCAAGGCATCTAACCTTATACGAGGAAGATGGTGGGTAGAGGTACCTCCCGCCGCGTGGCATTGCTAATGCTGTTGCTTCCTCCTTCGAAAGGTTGTCGCTGGAAAACTAAACTGTGAGCAGACAATCGGCGCGAACTTGAACTAACCGCTCTCTGACGTGGATATTTTAGGGTCAGCCAAAGAACAATTCCCGATACGCACGTTACCCCACGGTAGCAGACCTTGGGCTTGAAAGATGGATCAGAGAGGTACTCCCGCCGAGTGGCGTTGCTGATGCTGTTGCTTCCTCCTTCGAAAATCATCGGTGGAAAAACTACCCGGTGGCAATGTGAATCACCGAACTTGACGTGACCGGTCGCGACCGCTGGCATCTTGCTTCAACACAACGTTTTTTTCCCGGCACATTCGGCACCTCCCGGCGCTAAACCTTGGCATTGCCCAACAGCCTATGGTACCAGCTCCTTCCGGATACCGTCCTTGAGGCAGCTCTCCACGATAACGCATTTTGATTTTGATCTTCGACGCTTCGTGAATACACGGCCTTAAGGCTACGCCAGGCTCCTCGCCGCCCCCTGTGTCCCCGGGGCTCCGCGACGCACGATGTTTTTTCCCCCAACCATAAATAATTTTTACTCACAAGTCAAATTGCTCGATAAAAAAAAACAGTAACCAGAAACGGGTACCCTGGTCTATCACCATTCTTAGGGCGCACTTAGAAATCAACACGCAGGCACCCCCAAGCAGCCAGCTGATTGGCCCAAACACCATCGTACTTTTGGAGAAACCTCCATCGGGTACAGCTGCCGCTGGCATCTCGATCCTCTGGTGTATCCGATGTTGGTTACTGGTGTACCTGGAAAAGGGGTCTACTTTTTACCCAGGAATGGCCATATAATCCTTGTGCCCGACGACTCTAACACCCGCAGAAAAAACCGTGCACCGCGCTTACCCGCAAAACACACCATGTACCGCACGTACTCCACATGCAGCAGCTAAACAACCAAACCACCAACGCTCATCGATGGGCACCGCCTCCCGAGGATACCAATCTCCGGCAGCCTCCTCCGTAGATCGCGGTGAAACCAAACGGCCGTGTCCTGTGCCTCGAAGCATGAGGCAAGCATAACTGTAGGCAGGTCGTGCCCGTTTTGTCTCTCTGCGCTCTCTGTGCTTACCTTATCAGCACCAAAGCGAGCTTAACTCGCGCGTCGAGCGAGTTCGACCCTCTGTGGGGGTCCAAGAGTCAATAAGCGCAGGTGGCTTGGTTGTGTGGCTACTGCTGATATTGCAGTGCGGTATGTGCGGTACATGGTGTACAGTGCGGGTATGTGCGGTACACAGTTTTGTCTGCGACTTTAAGAGTCGTCAGGCACCGACATGACATGAGCATTCTGGGTACACCAGCAACCAGCATCGGCTACACGGGAGGGTCTCGAGATGCCGCTGGCCCCCTGGGGGTGCATGCGTGTTGATTTTGAAGTGTACCCTAAAATGCTGATAGACCACCAGGGTATACCCGTTTCTGGTTACTTCTTGACAAAAAATCCACAGCGGTGCCCCCGCCGACTGCCGTACAATCTCACTTGTCCCCTGTGGCGGTTAGCCTCAGGAGACACCATCCTCGATATCTTTTTGGATAACTTATGCCAGCGTGAGCGACCCCATCGATTCAAACTGTGCCCCATGTCAGCTTGGGCCTTGTAGCGCGAGATCGAGGTGCTTGGAAGTTTTGCAATTTAAGCACAATCTCCCCGCCGAGATTTTTGGTGAACCAGCGCAGCAAAGTGTGCTTTCGTTGCCGACAGCTTCAGCAAGCCACGAGCAACCACGCTGCTCGTAACTGCCAGAGCCTACCGATACGGTGTGTGAGTGGCGTCGCATGACTTGACAACAGCAGCAGACAACCAGAAACGATTCTAGGTGTCTTTGTGAACTGTATGTACAGTAGTTGGATGCAACAGCGCGAAACTTCGCCAAAATGACGGATCTTCTGAGTCCGATAAAGGAGAATGTAGCTGGTTACCGGGTGTTCTAATACTGCAAATACATATAGAGGCTCTGGAAAGGGCACAGCTTGATTTTTCGATAAACGGCCCAAAACGTTATTAATCAGATGCTTGTGTTGGTCTGTTTTTCGTCCCCCGTGTATTCAGAAGTACGTTGTAGAAGTACAGCTGGTGCCTTCTTGACCTCACTTGACCATGACCTGAGAGAGCCAGCAGTAGCAAAGTTCCCAGGAAACGACCACTACAACAGGTGGATACAACGCGCACAGTACATGGCATGGTAATAGCACCCGACCGCTGGGCGTCCTGTTAAGGGAAGGAACGATTTTTTTTCTCAAAGATGTTCGTGTTCAACGACGGTTTTGACCAAATGAGCACACCCCTCTCCTCTCCCCCCACCCAACAAACAGGTCAGGCCTGTTCTAATCGCTCGCGGTGTCGGAGCGGTCCTGGGCACGGCGGTATCCTCCAAGCTGTACCTCCGGGTACCGAGCAACAAGATGATGTCCGTCTTCCTTCTTCTCGTCATGGTGGTCTTGGTATACATGCCGTTCATCACCTCGGTGTACCCCCTCTACGTTGCCTTCCTTCTCCTCGGGCTGTTCACGGCCATCACAGATACGGGCTGCCAGATCATGACCAGAAAGGTACACGGGGCGGAGGCTGGGCCCTGGATGGGAGCCAACGCGCTCGCTTTCGGCCTCTCAGGTGTGATCGTGCCGCTCATAGGCTACCTGGCCGGGTCGCCGTTCGTCGTGTACGTCACCCTGTCGGTGGTGAGCTGCGTGACGGCGGTGTTCTTGACCATCCTGCCGACCCCTGTGAGAAACAAGGGGCTCCACGAGGTTAGTTCTTATGCTGCTGGCATTGACGAGGTGGCGGTGCTGGATGTACCGGTTGTGGAGGTGGTGGTGCCGAACCATTGCTGTGATCGTCTGCAGGCTTGTGCAAAGGATTGACACGGCGGTGCAGAGATGTTTTCGCTGAAGGCTTACGGTGCCTCGTCAATTGAAAGTGTTTCACAATGTAGTGGGATATTGCTCCTTCTCGTTTTTTCTCCACACCTGAATCCTGCCGGCTTCTGTAGCTGTCTTGTCGTAATTTTTGCCTCGCTCCGAGCCAATGTTGGAGGCATTTCGTCTCCACCGGCGCAATCGCGGGTGGTCTCTCACTTCCTCCGTCCTGTTCCTCTTACTTTCCTAGGGGGAGCGGCAGTCGATACCGGCGCAACGAGTGGGGGGTGGGGGCGCTTCACGGGAGGAAAGCCAGGCCAGCGCCTGCAAGCTGACCACGTTCTTCTTGAAGTACAAAATCGAGTTCCACATCAGCGGCATGTTGTTCTGGCTTTTCTCTGGAGAGGTAGGGTTCCTGTCCGGAAGTAAGGGGGTGTTTGTGGTCTTCGTTTTCCTTTTCCTTGCGATAACGGGACAAGGTGCCTCATTGCGCTTCCGGATGACTACCGAAGTACAGTTTTGGTTGGAACGGCAGTTTTGGTTGGAACGGCAACGTATTGCACTTTTTATGCGTCATAACTTCTGTTGTGGACGCTCTCCAATCGAAGCACTTGGTTTTCTTGTGGTGCTAACAATTTGCATGCGCTCCTGTCGACCTTCAGAAAAAATGGAATGACCTAGCTCATATCATATGCCAAGCCACGGATCCAGCAGTCGGACGTGCCGACAGCAACCAAAAGATGTCGTGATTCTAGTTCCAATCTTGGTTCACTAGCCTTCCACATATGGTGCTGGACGAACTACCTTTGAATGTATTCAGTATATCACTGCTGGTACATCAACATGCTCTGTGTACGAAAAATTGGTCTTCATGATAATTCACATACCATCACCGCCTTTCCCGCCCCTTACCAAAAGCAACTGCTGTGCTTCTTCGGGCTCACATGACAACCTCATGGCATACATCAAGACCGTTGACACGCCGACCTCCTCACGGCCCTGCTGCCGTAAAATCCAAGAAGCATACTACGGAATTCTCTTGCTTTGCCCATTATCTACGAATAACAAAACGTATTATGTGGCTGAGCCAGCTGAAACCGAACCCTCGTGCAAATCCGACAAAACCGTGCGACAGGTGGGTGCCGCCGGGTACCTGAAGAGGTACGTTGACGAGACCGAGGTCATCGGTGAATCGCACGCGAAGGTTCTTGTTGTTGTCCTGTGGATGGCCATCATCATCGGCCGTCTCGCGGGCATACAGGACCAGCGACATCTCACCCTCTCGCGCCTGTACCGACACTCTACCATCCTCTTCCTCGGCGGGACGACTGCGGCGACGGCTATCCTAGTATTCCAGAACTCGGCGTTCATGCTCTGGACGGGGATTGCGGCATACGGGCTCTGCGACGGGCCAACTGTAGGTTACTGCTACGATCTCAACAACCGCATGGCGACTCCCTCCGAGATGGGGACGTCGGTGGCCATGTTAGGGCAAAACTTCGGGGCGAGCATCGCGCCGTACGTGATTTCGTGGGTGTGGGACTACACCGACTGGCCGCAGATTCTGATCGTCGTCATATTGCTGTCTCATTTACTCCCGTACCCATTCATGTTCAATGCCAAGCGCGTGGACGAGGCCAACAAGCGAAGGCGGCAGGAGGAGGCCATTTCTTCGGGTCCCTCCGAGACTCGTTTAGCCCCATCTTTCTTCCTGTGATGCGGCCGGTCTCGCCAGTGGTGCGAGGCGCAACGTCAACTGATTAATCTACCAAGACGGAGAGAAGGCATGAATCGAATCGTGTTTTCCCGTGAATTCAGTGGACCGATGGTCGCAAACAAGGCGTGCTGTCTCGAGAGCAACAAATGTGTTTTTCGGGGTTGTGATGGGGGAACTTTTAAAAGGTAGAGAGCAAGAAGAGTTGAAACAAGCGTCCTTTCGCCCGTGAAAGAACAGTTTTTTTTCTCGAGCAATATTTCCATGTTGTGCTGGATGTTTTTGGCCGTTTCCATTTTTCCTTTTGATAATTGTTGTTTTTGCAGAGCGTCCCGGTAGGAGTGCTTTTGTTTTGCACAAAAAAGCTGTTTAGAGGGAGCGTGATGTACATCTGTTTGCGCAAAAAAAATGGGAAATTGACTGAGGTGGGGGGTGTACTCATACGTATAGTCGTGCATGCCGTAGTCGGTAGACCATTGACCTCGCATCCCTACAAAGCCGGGACGGAGCACGCCGGGTTCTCACCGGACCAGGCTCTCACATCACCAAGCGCGAAGCGCCGTGAGGTATTCGGCGAGTCGCATGAAGGGTGCGCTGCATCCTGTTAAGGGTGTTCGGCATCTTGTGCTTACTTCCTTGCGTACGGATGACAGCTGCGTATGACTTAATTTATTGTCTGGTGCTTTCACTTCCTGAGACAGTTGTAAGCACTGTGTAACTGCCTCGAGGGTGCTTGACCATTTTGACACAACGTGGTGCGACCATCCCCCTTGCGCGGAGTGAGGGTTCTCGACCCCGCACAACATGATCCACTCGACCACCATTATGGATACCGACAAAAAAAACAGAGGTAAAAAAACAACGGTAACCTGGTTGCCGAGCTCACGACGTGAATTGGCTTGT